ATATACGAGGAATCTTCAAATATTTGATTTTGAGACAAGAGTAAAGTACTCTTATTTTGAAAAATCTTGTTATGTAGAAAAGTTGTTCAGCATTGAAAAATACTTCTAGATTTAAACTCATGGCCATCTAAGTTAATTTTTATTTTTTTACCCATTTTTTAAATGGGGACTACGAAAAAAAATTGCTGAAACGATAAATAGATAGCATCCTGTATACGACAGTTTATTTCAAGAGCCTGTGATATTACAAAATACACAACTATGGTGTTAACCACGGTCAATTTTTTTGAAGAGTAAAATACGTTTTTGGTGCAAAGTTCCGTTTTAGATGGTGCACAAACTTTTATCAAGAATAACTTTTTGTCGAAAAACCCTTAATAAATAAGTTTCCCATGTGGTGCTTACATTGGGGATGATACTGTAGAACCTCGTTTCTCTTTGACATGGACACTAATCATGCATCTGCGTGAAATTTCCAAATCAGAATCATCAATAACAATTTCGGAATGTTCAATACACCTCTTTCTATTTGGAGTTAAAAATATTTTTTTCTGACCATTTTCTATTTTTTTCCATCTTCAACATTCCAGAAGACAATAAATAACTCACAGTTCACCACACAGAATAATTTCTCCAATTACTGTACTAAAACAATGATCACTACACGAGTTCTTCGATGTTAAGCTCTCATCCCACTCCGCTGGCTGAGTTACTGCTGGCTGATTTATTGTCACAGCTAGATTTGCTAAGCTGTACTATGAGTTGGAATATTTCTCGAAATTCATAGTTTTTCTTTTAATGTTCGGGACAGTAATTGAACACTAATGAACCACCCAGATACTTCCTAAAGGCAAAAAACCACCAAGAAAATCGACGAAATGTATTGAAAATTACGTCAGCAGTGGCCGGCACAACATTTAGTCTGATGTTAATGACACATCAGAGCAAAACTTTCCTTTGTCATATAAGATCCTTCTCTGCCTACAAATCTCCTTATTCTTTGAGAGTGTTATGACGACTATGTCATGTCTATGTCATGTCAGGTTAACTTTTTTCGATAAAAATTTCCAAATAGCCAAAAATAAAGGTGTGTTACTCCTAGAAAATTTCATAATTTTTGACAATGTCACAGCTAGATTTGCTAAGCTGTACTATGAGTTGGAATATTTCTCGAAATTCATAGTTTTTCTTTCGAATTTGCAGTGCGTTTAGTTATTTTAATGTTTGTTAATTTTTTTCTACGCCTTCTAAAAACTGCCATTTCACGATTGCGAAATTTGTTTCAACAATTTTAATGTCTTATTGAAATCACCGCCAGGTAATGGAATATTCACTAGTCTGTGAAGAATGCAGCTACTTTATGTCGATATGGGTGCGTCAAAGATTTATATAAGGTAATGTTAATATGTAGGAAAGTTTACGAAATATTAACAATTCTATTATACAATGAAAATTCATAGTTTTGAAGATGGACAGTGTTCCATGTGAGTGAAATTTTACTTCTTCTATTCACATTATTTTGTAGCAATCCTGTGAATGATATCTGATTTAATTCCATATACAAACTGAATAGACGAAAGTGTTTTTCTATTATTCCACTTACACTATTCTACGCTGTTTCAGGTGGAAAACGACTCATGAAATCTTCTGTTTACGACCCGTTTGCGTTATAAAAATAGGGTAGACCCGGTAAAGAATGTTGAACCCGCAGATGAGAGCTCTATCAAATCATAACGAGATCACAGAATTTTTCAAGCACTCTATCAGCGTTTTGCATTTATAATGAGCATTTATTACNCATAGAGAAGTTCCTTTATTCCATTCACCTGATCTTCATAGCGAATGTAACATTTCTTCAGTAAAAAAAAATTGCCGCATTTTAATTGTAACTTACCGAAAAATTCACAGTAGAATGAAAATCGTGTTCGTGAGTCAAAGGCATAGGTAATTATTGTAACTGTATTTGTGTACTAAATTCATCCCCGATTGAAAAAAGGACTTCAGTATAAAAAAGTGAAGTTTTGTGTTCAGGAGGGAGAATAATCAATAATTTATTTTTACTGAATGGGGTAATAGGAGTATAGTTTTGTTCCGATGTGTTTGAATATAGACTAAATAGGATAGACACGTTTAAAAACACGGAAACCTTATTTTTCCACTTTCAAATATCTTCCTTCAATATTTTTATGAAGTATTGTAGAAAAATCAAGGCAGGATTCAGTCTGAGAAAAATATGAGAGTATGGAATCAGCTCTATATCGAAATAATTCCTAATTTTAATTTTTTGGTATCATGATACAGAAATTTAAAACCAGTTCTTTAAAAATCTCTCATCTGTTAATCCTATACATATACATTGATCTTTTTTTTCAAATACCTTACCTCTGTGAAATCTCTATGCGACATCTTCCTCCTTCGAAAAATGATATTTCGTAACTCATATTACACTCAGGAAACAAAACTTTTCATCTAGTTCACTCATGCGTAACCTCTTCAAGCAGTTTCAAAAATATTTCTTCATGAACTTTTCTTCAGTAAAATCAAAACGCAGTAGTCATCAAAATATTTGATTCCTTTTAATAATTAAAAATGACCTTAACCTTCACAATCACTACTTTCCGCACTATTTCCAGCCATAAATTCGGCCCGGATGACTCAAAAATTGCTTTTCAATAAAACTATCGACACGACAAGCACTTTTTCGGATTCGGAGAGTTTTTTCGACAAATCATAGCAATTTACAGATCACAAAACAAGTTTACATCGCATCTAACAGTTATTTCAATGCTCGGTACAATGCTACGTTATTTACTTCGTGCTCGCATTCTTTAGCACACCACGGCCATCTTGGATGTTGGAATGCAGGTAATACTCTCGCAGGTGACTTGATTCCGTCGGTACACGATTAGCTTTTGTCTTTTACCTTTAGGAGATGGAGGTACGGATGACGTGAAGAGAACTACAGACGTGAAACAGGTACGACACCTCCGGATACCTGGGTACTTATTCCTAATGAGTACGACTTGGCTAATTATTAGTTATTATTGAATATATGCAGTCTCTACGAGTTACTAGCCAGTTATTTATTCTGTATAAGTATTTCTCTCCAACCAATCAAATATTTTTATTCGTCAATCTCAGTTTGTTCCTATCATCATGAACCAATTTATAAATTCTTGCGTGACCACTGGTAATATAATATATGTGATATTTTTGTTTTTAGAATTATTTAGGGTTTAACTGATGTATTTTTTTGAATCGCTCCAATTATAGAGCCGCGTTAATGTTTCGCGACAAGACGTAGATAATGCTGCATTGTGTTGATTTTTTCGGGATGCCACAAAAATAGCGCTTGGAGGTCCTTTTTATAAGCGATTTTTCATTTCTGTTAAAACTCTGTAATGCTTCTTGGGTGTTTGAGGAAATATATTGCAAACAAAAATATGATAGAAGATAGAATTAGTTGGTAACTAACTAAATATTTAAATTTTCAATTCAAGTGGCAACGGTAAACTATAAAAATAATTTCACCCCCAATTGACATTATACAGCGTGACTCACGGTCGATGGTAGGTTAGACGTTTCTGGAAAACGCAAAGCATGATTTTTCTGAAAATCTTAGCAATTATATTTTTTTAAATGGAACACCCCGTATATTAATACATTTTTGGAATTGTTCTAGTATTTTAAAATAAAAATTATATTCAATGCATTACATGTATTCAAAAACAGATGATAATTATTTTCATCACTCAACATTATTATACAGTATTCATTATTTTTCCATGGCATCGACTATCAAGATCAATGCTGTCATAGTTGTGTATATACAAGTTTATGTTTAAATATGTTCAAAATATGTTTTTTCCGTTAACCCCTATGAACGACAACCCTCAAAAGTCGAAGCTTGTGCGAGCTAAGAACTAACAAGGTTTTACATTTCAACGTGAGATTCCTGATACGGGTTGGACGATAGCAAGTGGAAATAGATCGTTCAGCCTGCGGCTTGGACCACCGACTCTCACATCAGTCGATGACTGAGTGAACAAAGCACTCATGTCGAACCGCCCGGCTACCGACCGATTCATAATTAATTATGTCTGATAATTCGCTTTACCGTACTTTTTGAAGCCCCCCCGTATGTTCTCGGAAAATTCAATCATACGTAAGGACACGTTTTTTATTATTGTTTCCTTTCTACACTATCATTAAAGTCTCCTTTGTACCTAAGCGGTTTTTGTCTTTTTGCCAAAAAGTAATAATTAACGTCTTCTCGGCTGGGTCTACGCCCAATCCCAGCATTCGTTTCGTACCGTCTGGTTATCCCAATTACTGCGCTCTCGTCCCCTTCACGACAGAATCGTGTAATGAGTTTTTTTTCTCACATTTTGTGGTTTTGAGGTCGGCGAACACAATGAAGCATGAAGTTTAGATTTTAGATGGAAACAATTTGTTTGGATATCTTATAAGTATAGACACGAGAATGGATTTGAAAAGGTGTATTCTAACAGTTTTTTGTGTGCAATTCACTGACCATTACGTGACGAAAATTATTAACATTCTCCATGATAATAATTCAACGATTTCCGCACTGAATTTTATTTAAGACGCATTTCGCCTATTGGTAGCTTCATCAAATGGACTGGTAGATATATACCATCATAATAGGTATTCTATACAATAACAATTTTCAATTGAAGATGATTTATAAGCAACGTCGCACTTGAAGTGACCAACGGATAATCCTCTTACCAACCCTGCAGANCCCATCGGAGCTCCCTCTACCTGTTTATAGATCTGGTTGTCAAATATGAAATAGGTGTTTTTAAGGCAGTGCTCTGCTAGATCCGTGACATGTTGCGGAAAGCTATGATCAGTTCTAATGGTGGCTAGGGCTTTGTTTATGGGTATACTCGGGTAGAGGGATTTTATGTCTAGGCTGGCAAGGATGTCGGTGTCGTTTAGTTTGATGTTTTTTATGATGTCCACCAGGTGCTCTGAGTTTCTCACATAAGATTCTGCCAGCTCCGTCTTTGGTTGCCTGCCTGAAATCGTGACCCTTGTATCTAGAGAAACTTTACGTCTCCCCAAGTGTATCGCCTGAGTCTTTCCTGGATTCACTCGAATCTTCCAGTCAAGGTACCAGCGTTCGAGGTCGTCCAATGCGCGTTGCATGTAGACGACCGCCAACGCCCGACCCATGGAAGAAGCGAGGAGAGCCGTGTCATCGGCGTAAAGGGAAACATTCACGTGATTGAACCTCGGAAGGTCGCTCACGTAAAGGCTGTACAGTAGTGGAGACAGCACAGTTCCCTGAGGCACTCCAGCTTCGATTTCCCTGACGGGAGACAGGGTTCCTTCAACTCGGACCTGAAATGTTCTGCCTTTCAGAAAGGGCCTAATCCACCACAGACTCGGTCGAAGGCTTTCGAAATATCCAGAAGAACGAGATGGACTGTCTTCCTGTTGTTCAGCTCTGAGATGGAATTTTCGACCAGTCTCAAGGCCTGCAGCTCGATGAAGTGTGCCCTCCTGAAGCCGAATCGTTCGTCAGGCAGAACATTTCGGTCTTCAACTTCTTCTGTTAGCATTTGCAGCACAACACGTTTAGCCAACTTAGCCGTTGAGCAAAGCAGACTAATCGGACGATGATTCTGGAGAAACAGCAGGTTCTGTCCCTGTTTCGGAATCATGACAACTACGGCATGCTTCCATCTTCGAGGAAAGTATCTGAGAGTGATTGAGCTGTTGATAATGTTCAGCAGGTATCTGATGAAGTTCCTCGGGAGCTGCTTCAACAACTTGTTGTTGATTGAATCAATTCCCGGAGCCTTCTTGGGTTTGGAGGCCCTAATGTACCCCTTTAATTCTTCCTCTGGAGCTGGACAGATCACGTCGTCATCATTTTCTCTAAGGATGCGCCGAACCCGGTGTTCCAGCCGGATATCACGGTCAATATCATCATCCGGATCAACGTTAAGTCGAAACTGACTCAACATGGTGTCTGCAAAGGTCAACGTCTTCTCGGCGGGGGAGTAGCCGATGCCGCGCTGTCCGTGAAGAGGGAAGGGAGCGGTTTTCCTCTTCTTCGAGCGATTCGAAACACTCGCTCCACCTCTCGTTTCTATAGTCAGTGATGGCCTGTTTAAGTTGGTTGGCCATCCTGCTAGCCGCAGCCTTGTCTCCAGGGTAGAGAGTCCGCTGATAAACTCGTCTGAGTCGATTTCTCTCCCGGATAAGGTTCTTTATCCTGGGAGGAAACTCATTGTATCTCCGCAGAAGTTCTGTCCTGGTTGTAGCTGCGCGGAAAGCGTTGTTCACAGACAATTCGAAATCTCCCACTGCCGCGTCGAGACCGTTGCGAGTTTGAAGCGCCTCACGGTCCGTACGTGTCTCCACTAGGTGAGCCTTGAAGGCTTCCCAATCCGTGAATGATCTCATGCAATAATCCTGGGGAGGGGGATCATCACCCAGCATCAGGAAGACTGGATTATGATCTGAGTCGAGTTCCGACAATGTGTACACTTCGCAGGACATGGAGACGTTCCTGAGCA